TTGCTATAGGGTGCATGTGCTCGCCAGAAAGACAGAGAGAGACAGAGAGACAGAAAGCGAGAAATCACCCCCCCAAGGGGGATGGCCATGCCACAATCCCTTCTCCTCCATTCTCCTCTCGAGATCTTGGGCACGCACGCACACACGCCCGGCGTGAATTTAAGCCACCAGGTCTGGGACTCGAACCGTAGTCAACTATATGGGAGCCCAGTGACATAGCCATTACACTGACTGCTGGTCCCTTAAAATGCTAAATCTTGATGAGAACAATAGCACAGCTTAGCGCAGTCTTCATGCCAGACATCAGAACTTGGTAGAAGCCAAGGAAATCTTGCGAGGCCGTCGCCTGCACCCTGCATTCTGGGTCTCCACTCCTGAGACGATGCCTCCCTTCAGTCATTGAGAGTTTGGGCTTTTACCTTCTCTCCCTTACATTTGAGGGTGTTTAGAAGTAACACCAAAAGGGGGGGACCAGCAGGTGGTGTGGTGGTTAAGGCGCTGGACACTCCCACATGGCCGACCAGGGTTCAAGTCCTGAATCTGGTGGCTTGCTTTCTCACTTCCTCTCTCTCTCACTCTCACCCTCTGTCTCTCTCTGGTCAAATTAAAAAAATAAAAATGAATTAAATAAAAAAAAAAAAAAAAGAAGTAACACCAAAAGGGAGGCAGGCAAGTCACAACACCCGGAGAGGCTCTCTAAAGACAGCGCCTGGAAGCCAACAGGATGCTGCTTCCTGGGGGTGAGCTTGTCATTCGTTTCTTTAATCCTCAAACTCATAACTGGCCATTGTGTTCAAGAACATTCTCAGAACGGTGTGCCTGGGGCTCCTCCAGCGTGTTTCCCGATTAACTGATTTACCTAAGCAGAGCCAATCTGGGCCATTCTTCCATCCGTAGGCTAAGCAGAGGATCCCAACCCCAGCGCCCTTGGCCACCATGGCACAGTGAGGTAAGTCGTGGGGGCTTTTGGGCTGGAAGGTGCCACAGTGGTCGCACAACTAGGCCCACATGGGAAGGTCCCTGGTTCTGTCCTGGGACAACCCTTCATGTGTTCGTTGTGCAAGTGTGTGCCTGTGCCCCGGGCTGACGGGGGCTGGGCCACACCGTGGGGACCCTGTGAGGGTGTCTGTCTATCTGTCTCTTGCTCCCTTTCTTGCTCATGAAAGAAATAGATGAATAAGCTTTTTTTTTTTTTTTTTTTTTTTTTTTTTGCTGAGGGTGTTTGTGCTTGACAGAGACAGAGATAGAGAGAAAGGGAGAGGGGGGAAAGCAACCCCCAATGGGCTGTGGTCACACAGCAAAACCTTCTCCTCCATTTTTCCATCCTGTTGGGATTTTGGACATGCATGCACATGCAACTACAGTGTTTTCCAAGCCACCAGGGCCAGGATTCAAACCGTGTGGTTGGGGACCAGCAGGTGGCATGGTGGTCGAGGCGCTGGACACTCCTACATGGCTGACCATAGTTTAAGACTCGGACCTGGCGGCGTGCTTTCTACTTCCTCCCTCTCTCTGTGTGTTTCTCTCTGGTCAAATTAAAATAAATGAATGAATAAATAAAATTAAATAAATAATTATTTTTTAAAAAAAAACAAAACTGTGTGGTTGGCCTTGGAGGATCAGCTTTCTTAATTAGTAGGTCATGGGGCAGTCCTGAATAAACTTTATTTTTGGTGAGGTTTTTGCTATAGGGCGTTTGCGCTCATCAGAAAGACAGAGTCAGAAAGTGAGAAATCACCCCCCAGGGGGGATGGCCACACCGCAATCCCTTCTCCTCCATTCTCCTCTGAGGATCATTTTCACCCATGCCCACACACCTGGCATGAGATTAAGTCACTAGGTCCGGGACTCGAACCGTAGTCGACTACACGGGAATTCAGTGACATAGCCATTATGCTGCTAGTTCCAACGTTTTTTTTTCTTTTTAAGAATTTAAAAATTGGGAACCAGCAGTTAGTGTAATGGCTATGTCGTTGGACTCCCACGTAGTCAACCGCGGTTCGCGTCCCGGACCTGGTGGCTTAAAACTCATGCCGGGCACGTGTGTGTGGGTGTCCAAGATCCCAAGAGGAGAATGGAGGAGAAGGGATTGCGGCATGGCCAATCACCCCCGGGAAATCACCAATCACCCCCGGGAGGTGATTTCTCGCTTTCTGTCTCTCTGTCTGTCTCTGTCTGGTGAGCGCATGTGCCCTATAGCAAAAACCTCTAAAAAAAAACAGGTGTGTATACATCCATGCCCCAAACCCCAGGTATTTTGGGCGTACACACACGCACACCTGGCACGTTTCTCAAACCACCAGGGCCAGAATTGTGACTGCACAGTTGGCCGTCCGAGATCCAGCCACTTTAACCACCACACCACCAGCTGGCCCTTCAGTTCCTTTTCATTTTTTTTATTGTTTTATAAAAATTATCTATTTAATTTTATTTATTCATTCACTTTTTAAAAATTACCAGAGAGACAGAGACAAAGAGAGAAAGTGAGAAAGCAAGCCACTAGATCTGGGACTTGAACCGTGGTCAGCCATATGGGAGTGTCCAACGTCTTAACCACCACACTACCTGCTGGCCCCCAGTTCCTTTCTATTTCTCTCGCTCAGATTAGTCAATAAGGTTAGAGAGGGAGGAAGAGGAGCAAGAAGTGGGGAAGGAGGCAGGTCATTTTTTCACACCAGAATAACATGCCTTAGACAACTGTGTGCTGTCCATATTTTAGTTCAGATTTTTGAAGTTCATTCCAAGTTACCTCTTTTTTATTTTTTAAAAAATGGAGACCTGTAGTTGGCGTAATGGCTATGTTACTGGACTCCCATGTAGTCGACTGCAGTTCAAGTCCTAGACCCGGTGGCTTAAACTCACGCCGGGCGTGTGTGTATGCATGCCCAAGATCCCGAGAGGAGAATGGAGGAGACAGGATTGCGGCGTGGCCATCCCCCCTGGAGGGTGATTTCTCGCTTTCTGTCTCTCTGTCTCTCTTTGTCTTTCTGGCAAGCGCTTGTGCCCTCTCCAAAAAATGTTTTTCTATTATTTAACTTTATTTATTATTATTATTATTTAATTTGACCAGAGAGAGAGGAGAGAGAGAGGGAAAGCAAGAAAGCAAGCCTCCAGGTCCGGGATTCGAACCACCATCAGTCATTTGGAGTCTAGCGCCCTTAACCACTATACCACCTGCCAGTCCCCCGAGTTACTTCTTATTGGATCTAGGCAAGATTATCCAAACCCCAAATGATGGCCCCAGAAATACATCATACCAAAGCCTTGGCATGTGGCTTTTGGTATAAACATTTCTCCCCTAAAAGTGCTGTGCTGTTTGTGAGTTCAGAACCAGGTGCCCTCTGTCTCAATGACAAATGAAAATAAAACTTCAGGACAAACTGGTTTTTTTTTTAAAGATTTTTTGCTATAGATGCGTGTGCTCATTGGAGAGACAGTCAGAGAGACAGAAAGTGAGAAACTTTCTGATGCAATCCCTTCTCCTCCATTCTCCTTCTGGGATTTTGGTCATGCTCACACATGCAGCCAGCGTGAGTTTCAAGCCACTGGGCCCGGGACCGGACTGCAGTCGGCTGTGTGGGAGTCCAACACCTTAACCACTATGCCACCTCCTGGCCCCCAGGACAAACCTTTTCGAAGCTTGGCTACACAGGGAACTCGCTGTCCTGTCAAAGATTTAACGGCCTAATCCTAACTAGGACACGCAGATCAGTCTGTACCTTGTCTTACTCTGCTCTTCAGCATCATTCCTCATCAAACCAAATACCCACTTAGCTGCTCAGCGGCCCGATCTGGGAAGCAGCTTTCCTGCCTTCACACAGATGGCCTTTTGAATAACTGTAGAGACAAAGCGTGGTCATGTGAAATATTCGTACATCACCGGGCCAGTCTAGCAATCTCCTGGTGCTTTTGTGTTCTCTGGTTCCAGATGTTTCTCCTGGCTGGAGAAAGGGAGACCCTAGTTCAGTGTCAAACAATGGAGCCCTAACCAGCTGCACCTGTTCAGAGGTGAGTACCTTTCACTGACTTGGAGAAAGCCATGCCTCAGCCCCAGCCAGACGGGGCTCTCTGAAGTGACCCCGTGGCTGGTATGGAGGGAGCACCTGGCACAGAGAGTCTGGCTACGTGAGTCAAGGTCTACAGAGCCAGGAGACCCAGGGGGAGAGCGCTTATTTCTAAAACACTCCTGGGCTCTCTCCAGTGAGGCCTGAGCGCCCAAGCCAAGGCCGAGCCAAGGCCGAGTCCGGGCAGTGCTGGGTCCCCAGCTGAGCCTTGCTGAGGTTCCAGGGGTGCCGTTTCATTCTGTCTTGTCTAGCCGGTCTCACGCAGCACTTCCTGCCTCGCCGTCCTCCTCCAGCTCACACGGTCTGCAACAGCCACGGGCTCTGGGCCGAGCGCAGAGCCCCGCCACAGAGCAAATGAGGGAAGTGGGCCCGAGACACAAACATCCTGTCCTTACTACGTCGAGCGGCTCCGGCTGGAGAATCAGGGTGGCCGAGCAGACGGCTTGCGTGGGACGTGCAGAGACTCGTCTTCTCTGTAGTCGCAGCTAGCAAGGACGCATTTTCTCCCAGCCCCTGCGCTGAACGGGTGCTGTGAGGCTTACGGAGGTGACAGAAGACAGTGACCGGGAATGCCCCGTTGCCAAGCAGACAGGGTAGGACGGTGCCGCGCAGAGTCCGGGCAGGGGTTCTGCTCAGGTGCCGTGAGCGAGCTCCCTGAAAGTTCTCTGTCCGCGGGCTGGTGTAAGAGACCAGGCGCTGACCAGAGTCCTCCATCCAGAGCTCACCATCTTCCTGGGACTTCCCACACCCAACTCTCTTCTTCCTTGCAGGACCTGGGCAGGCCTCACCTTGTATAGGATCGCTTCCAGCTGAAGATCTCCTCCAGACCGGACGAGGGAGAGATCTCCCGCTTCTGCAGGGGGCCCCAGCGACGCCGGCCCCCTAGGAACGAAGCTCTGCGCCTGCTCAGCCCTTTCATCCTCTCTTCCATTCGGAAGAAGTCAGTCAAGGCCCGGAAGGCCTCCAGGATGACCTCGTGGCTCCAGGCTGGCAGGGGCTCCTGGCGCAGGAAGCCGCAGTGGCCTCCGTGGCGGCTGAGCAGGAGGAAGAAGTAGGGGTTGCTGTGGAAGAGTTCGGTGGGCAGCGCGTGGTCTGGGGGCCCGCACACCGGGTCGTCGGCGCTGCAGATGCACAGCACGGGCACGGCTGCCTCGTCCACGTCCCGCAAGGGGTCGTTGCGGTCCCAGTAGGTGTCCCAGCTGATGGGAAAGCTCTTGGTGTGGCAGAAAAGGGTCTCCTCAAACTCTCGCAGGGAGCGGCTCCCAAACAGCTTGCTGGTGTCCACCGTGTCCTCCAGCGCGGTGGCATACCTGGCAGCGGGAAGGTGAGGGGGGAGGTAGGGGAGAGGGAAGAATCAGAGCACCAGCTGAAGATTTCCACAGCCCCAAGGACAGGCACTGAGTCCTCTCCCTTCTCCCTGGGCCTGTCACCCATTGGGCCTGTCACCCGTGGCAGCCATGACCTGCCCAGCTGAGGGCCAGCATTAGACCTCGAGCTTCGGGTTTGCAGGGATAGCTTTCTTCTCAACCTCAGGTGTCACTGAGGAGGCCTGGAAGAACTCATTGGCTCTGAGTACCCAAACCAGCAGGTGACACGTCTCCCATCCAGTCACCCAGACTTTCCTGCAGGTGGCACTGTGGGTGTTTACTTGTCAGTGCCAGAGGGCATGTGCACTAGCCAGAGAGAGCGCCTGCCTCGGGGCGTGGCACACTGCAAGCCCTCCTCCATTTCTCCCTCCTTTTGGAATTTCGGGCAAACATGTGCATGCACCCCGTGTTTTTCAAGTCACGAGGGCTGGAACTCCAACCTCAGTCACGTAGGATCTCACTTCCTGTGTAAGAGGTTTAACCACCGTGCTGCAGGCTGCTGGCATTAGTTGTTTTGACTTTTTTTTGTTTTAAAGCTATTACAGTATTCTGTCCTGATGATGATAAACGAGTGTCATCTTGGTCAGCTGTACCTGGGGTAGGTTTTCCTGGAGAGGGCTGGGTGGGACAGGGAGCAGATGGGAATGTGATTAATTTACTGGGGTTCTCAAATGGAGGCCTCAAGGCGCCTGCTCTGGAGGGAGAGGACCCTTTGCTATTGCAGCTTCTTGGAGTGGGCTGGCCTCCCTGACAAGGCCGGGATGGGCAGCCTAGGCCTTTGAGTGGATCAATCCAGCCTCAGTCCGCTGAATTTAGAAGCGTATCTCTCGCAAACATTCAAAGACACTCAGCTGAGTTTTCAATCCCAAACTTCCATGAGAATGGCAGTTCCTAAGGGCCTGGGTTCCCTCCCCACTGCCCTGCCCTACCCTTCACCAACACTGGTGGTGGTCACTGTGGGATGGAAACCATGGCACGTAAGCCAGATGAGAGCGCCTTGTCCCTGGACTGCGCCAGCGACTCTGGGTTGCCATGGCAGCACTTCCCAGGCTGTGGTTGAGGTCAGGGTTTGACCTCAGATCTGGAGGCACAAAGGGGTCAGGGAAGAAAAAGCCCCACCATTTATGGAGCACCTGCCCAGTGCCACCCCTTGATTTGCTTTCTCACTGGATGATTGAAACCACTTTGGGAGGTGGTTATTACCTCCGTCTTACTAAGAGGGAAGAGGGGCTGGAAGGAGTTAGCTAACCTGCTGGACCTGAACCCAGCTGTGACCCCACAGCCCAGGCCCTCCTGCTCTTTCACACTGTTGCCATAATGTCTTCAGCCTCATTCTGCCATCCCTAGGCAATGGACAGCGGCTGGGAATGCCGCTGCGGCCTCTTGGTGAAAAACACTCACCTGTCACCTGGGTAGGAAATTGTTCTCCTTTTGGAGACTTTTTTTTTAAACATTCTATTTAAATATATGTAAATGTTTGTATTCAATATTGAGTATGTATGTAGGAATATGTAAAACATATGTGAGGTCTGAAGAATTGTAATCAAACACCACCATATTTCTAATTGCTGTCACTTCCAGGCTCTGAGACTATGAGCAAACATTCTGGACAGATCATTGGTTCTGATTGCTTCCAGAACCCTCTGTGCTGATTTGCCGAGCTACGGCCTAAGTGCTCAATGTCAGCGCTGCCTCTGTGCTGGCCGCGAGGGGGGGGGGGGGGGGGGGGGGTT